TTACTCTGGGTGGCTAACACCCCACCATCACTTGCGTTACTCTGGGTGGCTAACACCCCACCATCACTTGCGTTACTCTGGGTGACTAACACCCCACCATCACTTGTGTTACTCTAGGTGACTAACACCCCACCATCACTTGTGTTACTCTGGGTGGCTAACACCCCACCATCACTTGTGTTACTCTAGGTGACTAACACCCCACCATCACTTGCGTTACTCTGGGTGACTAACACCCCACCATCACTTGTGTTACTCTAGGTGACTAACACCCCCATCACTTGTGTTACTCTGGGTGGCTAACACCCACCATCACTTGTGTTACTCTAGGTGACTAACACCCCACCATCACTTGCGTTACTCTGGGTGACTAACACCCCACCATCGCTTGTGTTACTCTAGGTGACTAACACCCCACCATCACTTGTGTTACTCTGGGTGGCTAACACCCCACCATCACTTGTGTTACTCTAGGTGGCTAACACCCCACCATCACTTGCGTTACTCTGGGTGGCTAACACCCCACCATCACTTGTGTTACTCTAGATGGCTAACACCCCACCATCACTTGTGTTACTCTGGGTGACTAACACCCCACCATCACTTGTGTTACTCTGGGTGACTAACACCCCACCATCACTTGTGTTACTCTGGGTGGCTAACACCCCACCATCACTTGCGTTACTCTGGGTGGCTAACACCCCACCATCACTTGCGTTACTCTGGGTGGCTAACACCCCACCATCACTTGCGTTACTCTGGGTGGCTAACACCCCACCATCACTTGCGTTACTCTGGGTGACTAACACCCCACCATCACTTGTGTTACTCTAGATGGCTAACACCCCACCATCACTTGTGTTACTCTGGGTGGCTAACACCCCACCATCACTTGTGTTACTCCTTGGGTGGCTAACACCCCCCATCACTTGTGTTACTCTGGGTGGCTAACACCCCACCATCACTTGTGTTACTCTGGGTGGCTAACACCCCACCATCACTTGTGTTACTCTGGGTGGCTAACACCCCACCATCACTTGTGTTACTCTGGGTGGCTAACACCCCACCATCACTTGTGTTACTCTGGGTGGCTAACACCCCACCATCACTTGTTTTAAACTCTGGGTGGCTAACACCCCACCATCACTTGTGTTACTCTAGGTGGCTAACACCCCCATCACTTGTGTTACTCTAGGTGGCTAACACCCCACCATCACTTGTGTTACTCTGGGTGACTAACACCCCACCATCACTTGTGTTACTCTAGGTGGCTAACACCCCACCATCACTTGTGTTACTCTAGGTGGCTAACACCCCACCATCACTTGTGTTACTCTAGGTGGCTAACACCCCACCATCACTTGTGTTACTCTAGGTGGCTAACACCCCACCATCACTTGTGTTCCAGAACATGTGGGTGTTTGGTCCACTTTTCCGGACACTGAAGACGGTGTTGGCCATGTTGTACTTCCTGTCCATACCAGTCTTACTGTCTGGAGTGTTATTTACACCCCACCCACCCCACTAACACTGCTTAAACCCCACCCACCCCACTAACACTGCTTAAACCCCACCCACCCCACTAACACTGCTTAAACCCCACCCACCCCACTAACACTACTTATACCCCACCCACCCCACTAACACTGCTTATACCCCACCCACCCCACTAACACTGCTTATACCCCACCCACCCCACTAACACTACTTATACCCCACCCACACACTAACACTGCTTATACCCCACCACCCCACTAACACTACTTATACCCCACCCACCCCTCTAACACTGCTTATACCCCACCCACCCCACTAACACTGCTTATACCCCACCCACCCCACTAACCACTACTTATACCCCACCCACCCCACTAACACTACTTATACCCCACCCACCCCACTAACACTACTTATACCCCACTCCCCCCACTAACACTACTTTATACCCCACCCACCCCACTAACACTACTTATACCCCACCCACCCCACTAACACTACTTATACCCCACCACCCCACTAACACTACTTATACCCCACCCACCCCACTAACACTGCTTATACCCCACCCACCCCACTAATACTACTTATACCCCACCCACCCCACTAACACTACTTATACCCACTCACCCCACTAACACTACTTATACCCCACCCACCCCACTAACACTGCTTATACCCCACCCACCCCACTAACACTACTTATACCCCACCCACCCCACTAACACTACTTATACCCCACCCACCCCACTAACACTACTTATACCCCCACCCACCCCACCCACCCCACTAACACTACTTATACCCCACTAACACTACTTACACCCCACTAACACTACTTATACCCACCCCACCCATTAAGACTACTTATACCCCACTCACCCCACTAACACTACTTATACCCCTCACCCCACTAACACTACTTATACCCCACTCACCCCACTAACACTAACTTATACCCCACCCACCCCACTAACACTGCTTATACCCCACCCACCCCACTAACACTACTTATACCCCCCCACCCCACTAACACTACTTATACCCCACCCACCCCACTAACACTACTTATACCCCACCCACCCCACCCACCCCACTAACACTACTTATACCCCACTCACCCCACTAACCCTACTTATACCCCACTAACACTACTTATACCCCACCCACCCCATTAAGACTACTTATACCCCACTCACCCCACTAACACTACTTATACCCCACCCACCCCACTAACACTATTTATACCCCACCCACCCCACTAACACTACTTATACCCCACTCACCCCACTAACACTACTTATACCCCACTCACCCCACTAACACTACTTATACCCCACCCACCCACTAACACTGCTTATACCCCACCCACCCCACTAACACTACTTATACCCCACCCACCCACTAATACTACTTATACCCCACCCACCCCACTAACACTACTTATACCCCACCCACCCCACCCACCCCACTAACACTACTTATACCCCACTCACCCCACTAACACTACTTATACCCCACTAACACTACTTATACCCCACCCACCCATTAAGACTACTTATACCCCACTCACCCCACTAACACTACTTATACCCCACTCACCCACTAACACTACTTATACCCCACCCACCCCACTAACACTATTTATACCCCACCCACCCACTAACACTACTTATACCCCACTCACCCCACTAACACTACTTATACCCCACCCACCCCACTAACGCTGCTTATATCCCACCCACCCCACTAACAGTACGTATACCCCACCCACCCCACTAACACTACTTATACCCCACCCACCCCACTAACACTGCTTATACCCCACCCATCCCACTAACACTACTTATACCCCACCCACCCCACTAACACTACTTATACCCCACCCACCCCACTAGCACTACTTATACCCACTAACACTACTTATACCCCACCCACCCCACTAACACTACTTTATACCCCACCCACCCCACTAACACTACTTATACCCCACCCACCCCACTAACACTGCTTATACCCCATCCACCCCACTAACACTACTTGTACCCCACCCACCCCACTAACACTACTTAAACCCCACTCACCCCACTAATACTACTTATACCCCACCCACCCCACTAACACTGCTCACAACCCACCCACCCCACCTCACTAACACACCGGCTCCGGATGAGGGACTGGTTACCCCAAATTCCGTCAACCATTCTTGTGTGTATAGGACTGAGGAAGTCGAGTATCCACAATAAAGATTCCTAAATATTGAAAAAGTTTCTAATTTATCAACTTATCTGTTCCGTGAACTATTTATCTACAACATTTCTGCTAATTTTTGATTGTACGCAGAATTTAACCTTGGCACCTGATGCCCCTGTTCACCTAGCAGTAAGTAGGTGCCTGAGTGTTAGTGGGCTGGTGTGGGTGGCATCCTGGGGACAAAATTAACCTAAGTTGTGGGAAATGCTCTACATAACCAGGGACTTTCTATATAGTATGTCACAGATGTCAGCTATGGTCTGTATAAGTTGTATCACGTACTGGTAGAAATAAACATTATTATTATTATTATTTTGTTATTATTGATAAATTAGACACATGTGCAACACTTGGTATCTTTAATGAGGAATCGTTTCACCACACAGTGGCTTCATCAGTCCATACAAAGGAGAATGGTGAAGAACAGGAGGAGTTTGAGGCAATCAGTCCCTCAACCTTGAGTCGATGTGGTCAGTCTATCAATCTTGACAAGAATACAGCATATTTGCGGAGAAGTAGCTTATATACTGTAGGCAGGAGAGGTGCAGCAGTCGTAGGTGGTGTCACATTTGTCCAGTGTGGAAGTAGGTCGTGCCCAAGGGTTAGGCAAGTGAAGAATTGATGAATGGTTTTGAAAACCGACAAGTTGAAGAATTGAGACACTTACGCAACATCATGACTTAAGAAATCGTAATGACACGATTGCAAATAAACCATACCCCCGGCCGGGATTGAACCCGCGGGTTCAATCCCGGCCGGGGGTATGGTTTACGCAACATCATATCTGTCAGACACTGCATCATCATGGGATCTTGATACAAAGAATTCTCCAACTTGTCCAACCTTTGAACGAAGACCTACTTCGACTAGTGGATGGTACCACTATGACCCCGCCTCCGCCTGCTTCACCTCACCTCACTACTTCGACTAGTGGATGGTACCACTATGACCCCGCCTCCGCCTGCTTCACCTCACCTCAGTACAGTATATAAGCCACGTCTACGGCCCTATGCTGTACATTCTACAAGATTGATGGACTGAACACATCGACTCCAGGCTGAGGGACTGATTACCTCAAACTCCTCCTCTCCTTACGCCTTTCTGCTTTGTATTGGACTAATGAAACCACTGTGTAGCGAAACGTTTCCTCAATAAAGATACCCAAGTGTTGCTCATGTGTCTAGTTTATCAACTTGTCGGTTCTCAGAACCATTCATCATTATTATTATTATTATTATTATTATTATTATACAAACACCACTGATAACATTTAGTTAAACTCACATTGTTTCATTTGTTCATGTTCGTAATTTAGCTTCCAGTTCGAACCCCCAAATTAAAAATATATTAATTTTCTAGAATACTCTGTTATTATTATCTATCTAGAAAAGTTAATTTGAGTAGAAAAGGTGTAAATAACACTTTAGTAATATATATTTTTATATCTGCTTTATATAACTTATGCAGATATTCAGTATGTTTATTGTTGCAGTAATAAGTTATTGTTACAGTAATAAGTTATTGTTACAGTAATAAGTTATTGTTACAGTAATAAGTTATTGTTGCAGTAATAAGTTATTGTTACAGTAATAAGTTATTGTTGCAGTAATAAGTTATTGTTACAGTAATAAGTTATTGTTGCAGTAATAAGTTATTGTTACAGTAATAAGTTATTGTTACAGTAATAAGTTATTGTTACAGTAATAAGTTATTGTTGCAGTAATAAGTTATTGTTACAGTAATAAGTTATTGTTACAGTAATAAGTTATTGTTACAGTAATAAGTTATTGTTACAGTAATAAGTTATTGTTGCAGTAATAAGTTATTGTTACAGTAATAAGTTATTGTTACAGTAATAAGTTATTGTTGCAGTAATAAGTTATTGTTACAGTAATAAGTTATTGTTACAGTAATAAGTTATTGTTACAGTAATAAGTTATTGTTACAGTAATAAGTTATTCCCACCAGATACTTTACTAGTAAAGTAACTTGGCTTTATTAATGTTAGGAAACTATAATAACCTCGAGCATTGATCTAGTATTTCATAATAAAGTTCCTCCGAGAGGTTGATGATGGGCTCTTTATCCAGGGGACTGGAGCTAACCTTGTGAAATAAGACATGCACAGTGTTATGGTATTTTAATAAGGAAACCTTGCTCCTTATTAAAATATCCCAATACTGTGATTGTCTTATTTTGCACAGATTGGTATTGCTAGCACCAAATTTGCACACGAACATCGCTCCTTACGAAAGTAAGACGAGGCAGGCGGTGTAACATCTCCCAGTGGAAAGCAGGGGCGCCACAGATACGCTAAGAGACAACACAGTAAGTGTCAGGGGTACAAGACTGCTCAACTGCCTCCCAGCATACATAAGGGGGACTACCAATAGACCCCTGGCTGTCTTCAAGAAGGTGCTGGACGGGCAGCTAAAGTCAGTACCTGACCAGCCGGGCTGTGGTTCGTACGTCGGTCTGCGTGTGGCCAGCAGTAACAGCCTGGTTGATCAGGCTCTAATTCACCACGAGGCCTGGTCACAGTCCGGGCCGCGGGGGGCGTTGACCCACGAAATCCTCTCCAGGTATACTCCAGGTACCATCTCTTACTCAGTAAAGAAACTTAGATTTGATAAATTAGACCCATGTCCAACACTTGGTTATTTTAATTGAGGAAATGTTTCGCCACACAGCGGCTTCATCAGTCCAATACAAAGAAGAATGATGAAGATCGAGAGTTTGAGGTAAGCAGTCCCTCAGCCTGGAGTCGATGCAATCAGTCCATCAATCTTGATAAAATAAGATTAACGGACTGATTACATCGACTCCAAGTTGAGAGACTGATTATCTGAAACTCCTTCTGATCTTTACCATTCTTTGTATTGGACTGATGAAGCCACTGTGTGGTGAAACGTTCCCACAATAAAGATACCCAAGTGTTGTACATGTGTCTAATTTATCAACTTGACGGATCTCTGAACCATTTATCTACAAACTTAGATCTGAAAGGTGGTGAGTAGTGGTGGAGGGAGAGACTCCAGCTCCTCCTCCATCAGGTTAACTCTACTGACGGTGCCTAAGAAAACCAAATGGTCCCCCGAGGAATCCTCCTTCACTTCATTCCCAAAACCCAAACTTTGCGGGGGAACCCCTTTCCAAGGCATGCTGGAGCTAGTCTCAGTAGTGGCGATGGGTACTGCGGTGACGGAGTTTCTGCTGATAAAAGAAGCCTCGAGGGCCATTACGTCCTGCCTCTGGTTTGCGGGTTTTGCTTGTCGGCAGCGGTAGTAAGTGGAGGCCACAGTGACCAAGGAGAGAACCACGCCCAGGCTAGTTATGATGTAGATGTAATGTGGGAAACTTGACGGCTGAGGTGTCAGTTTCGTGGATGTTGGAGGCCAGGTGGCCACGTTTGGAGATGTTGGAGGCCAGGTGGGCAGGTTTGGAGATGTTGGAGGCCGCGTGGCCAGGTTTGGAGATGGAGGCCACGTGGCCAGGTCTGGAGATGTTGAAGACCATGTGGTCAAGTCTGGAGATGTTGGAGGCCAGGTGACCAAGTCTGGAGATGTTGGCGGCCAGGTGGCCAAGTCTGAAGATGTTGGAGGCCAGGTGGCCAGATCTGGGGATGTTTTAGACCAAGTGGCAAGGTCTGGGGATGTTGGAGGCCAAGTGGCCAGGTCGGGGGATGTTTTAGACCATTTGAGTAAGTTCGGGGAGGTGTCAGGCCTCGTGGTCAGGACAGCGGTTGACAGGGGTGTTGTGGTTGTAGCCAGAATATTATTTGTAGATGAGGTTAATGTAGTTGGGATTGTGGTAGTAAATAGAGCTGTGATAGTGGCTGTAGCTGGGGTTGTAGTGGCTACTGGCATAGTTGAGGTCATAGTTGAAGCTGATATTGTGGATGTTGAGACAACAGATGTTGATGCGGTTGACTCTGATTGAATTGTTGTTGGAGGTGGCGATGATGGTAGCAGCGGCATTGTTGGTGGTGGCAGTGTTGTTGGTGGTGGTGTAGGCGGCGGCAGTGTTGGTGTTGGCGGCGGCAGTGTTGGTGGTGTTGACGACGGCAGTGTTGGTGGTGTTGACGACGGCAGTGTTGGTGGTGTTGACGACGGCAGTGTTGGTGGTGTTGACGACGGCAGTGTTGGTGGTGTTGACGACGGCAGTGTTGGTGGTGTTGACGACGGCAGTGTTGGTGGTGTTGACGACGGCAGTGTTGGTGGTGTTGACGACGGCAGTGTTGGTGGTGTTGACGACGGCAGTGTTGGTGGTGTTGACGACGGCAGTGTTGGTGGTGTTGACGACGGCAGTGTTGGTGGAAATACTGTCGTTATGATCTTAGTTGTCGATGCTTTATAGGTTGTTATTGATGTAGTTGTTTTCGCTGTTTTTCTGATGGTAGCTTCATGTGTTACATTTTCTGCTGCTACAGAAGCAACAACATGACCACTTGGGGCCGAAGGAAGGGACGGTGGGGAGGTGACCTTGACTCTTTTTTCCTTACGACGAGCACGTTTCTCTCTCTCAGACCTCACAGATACTACACCAGCTTCTGCCTGTCTATGTGCAGACTCACCGGGGATACCCGCCATCACTTCAGTATCTTCCAACTCGGCTCTGAGGTCATCTTCAATCGACTTGCTGCCTGAAACACCCACAAGACAGAATTTTAAATGCTCAACATATAACTTTTGGTTTAATTTTTATTGATATCCGTGAGGTTCAATCATTTATGATTTACAGTCCCTTCAGAGGGGATATATAGTTCCTTCAGAGGGGATATACAGTCCCTTCAGAGGGGATATACAGTCCCTTCAGAGGGGATATACAGTCCCTTCAGAGGGGATATACAGTCCCTTCAGAGGGTATATACAGTCCCTTCAGAGGGTATATACAGTCCCTTCAGAGGGTATATACAGTCCCTTCAAAGGGGGTATACAGTCCCTTCAAAGGGGGTATACAGTCCCTTCAAAGGGGGTGTTCTGAAACTGGTGAAGGGTTCTTAACCTAATGAATCACATCTAATTATCTCCCTAAGAGTTTCACACTTCCACGTCATTAAAATATTGAGCCATAAACATTTTTACATAATTGAATTTAGAAGGTAAGAGGTGTTACCGTTCCTCGGATTATTTCAGTTAACCAGCCCCGAAGATCCTACCTAAAACAGTCGGTTAATACTTCGTTCATTATTTACTGCTATATGAGCAGCAGGTTTAAAGACACTTTCCTGTACGTTTCGCCCTGCCCTGGAATTAAACCCGGATCTCTTTGGTTGTGAGCGGAGTGCTTTTGTTAAATTGTATAAGAGTTCTAGCCTTTCCTTGGTATAATAAAACACACTGAGGGCTGTCACATCCACTTTAAAAATTGGTGGCAGCCGCGAGACGAAAAATTTTAACCACATTAACTGAATATGAGGTTAAATTTAATTTGATACTTAGTAATTTGCATTACTAAGTACGTGCTAATCATCTAATTTCTAAAGGGGTTGACCGGCAAGCCAGTGGAAGGCCTCGGTCACAAAACCAGAAGCCCCAACTGTGAGTCAGTTGAGTTAAGACAAGCGTCAGGAAACACTTGTCCTGTTTCCTGACGAATCCTACCTAAACTAAACTAAATACATTCATAACTTACAAGAGAACTTTGCTTTGCCTGTGTTCAGCTGAAGTTCATCGTTGGTGTTCAAGATGCACACTGTCTCACCGCTAGACGCCTCCTCAACATTGAACAAACTCTTGTTTTCACTGATGGAAACCTTAAGAGATAAATGGATTCTATGTAATAATTTAACAGTCCGCACATGTGAAGATAATACAGTACTACCCGCGCTGACATTTTGAGAGAAAAATAATAATATTACTTTCAAGGAGATAAAGAGGAAGATTGGATGCCAGTGCTACAAGAATTCATGACCCCAGGATAGAAGCTACCATCCTCTTCTTGGGATCAAACTTACTTCCCAGGTACTGAATGACCCTTACGGGATTAGTGCTTCCCCAATATTATAATTATTGTCTCACTTTGAGCGTGGCATGTGCAGGTACGTGGCAGACTGCATCATCAGAAATGATCTGTAATGTAGAAGTGAAGAGTCGGTCTCCAGCTGCTGGTACTGAGGGAGTATAAAGCCAGCCTCCCCCAGCTGGTACTGACAGTCTCTCCACCTGTCTCATCGTTCCACATGCTGTGTGAATGCCAGTAAATGTAGCTGGTAAATGTCAATGTATCCGGGGCATTATTATATTACAAATACCCTGACTTTACCTTTGGTAAATAATTAATTTCCATTTAAACTAATTTAATTTCAATGACATCTTGTTAAAATATAAAGTAATGTAAATAATTCAAAAATATTTATGAACCAAACTGAATTAATGTTTGCAGAAATAATTCCTTACCGTTGTAATGAGATATAAACATTGTATAGTTCACTGTGTACCTCAGTAATGTTGAGCTACAGTCCCTGGACCCATTATGTACCTCTGTAATGTTGAGCTACAGTCCCTGGACCCATTATGTACCTCAGTAATGTTGAGCTACAGTCCCTGGACCCATTATGTACCTCTGTAATGTTGAGCTACAGTCCCTGGACCCATTATGTACCTCAGTAATGTTGAGCTACAGTCCCTGGACCCATTATGTACCTCAGTAATGTTGAGCTACAGTCCCTGGACCCATTATGTACCTCAGTAATGTTGAGCTACAGTCCCTGGACCCATTATGTACCTCTGTAATGTTGAGCTACAGTCCCTGGACCCATTATGTACCTCTGTAATGTTGAGCTACAGTCCCTGGACCCATTATGTACCTCTGTAATGTTGAGCTACAGTCCCTGGACCCATTATGTACCTCAGTAATGTTGAGCTACAGTCCCTGGACCCATTATGTACCTCAGTAATGTTGAGCTACAGTCCCTGGACCCATTATGTACCTCAGTAATGTTGAGCTACAGTCCCTGGACCCATTATGTACCTCAGTAATGTTGAGCTACAGTCCCTGGACCCATTATGTACCTCAGTAATGTTGAGCTACAGTCCCTGGACCCATTATGTACCTCAGTAATGTTGAGCTACAGTCCCTGGACCCATTATGTACCTCTGTAATGTTGAGCTACAGTCCCTGGACCCTTTATGTACCTCAGTAATGTTGAGGTACAGTCCCTGGACCCATTATGTACCTCTAATGTTCAGGTACATTCCCTGGACCCATTATGTACCTCTAATGTTGAGGTACATTCCCTGGACCCATTATGTACCTCTGTAATGTAGAGGTACAGTCCCTGAACCCATTATATACCTTTGTAATCTTTAGACTACCACCCACACTATGGGTATGGGTTAGAATCCAGCTGCTGATATAAGATAAATGTTACACTCTCACTCTCTCTCTCTAGCAGAAGCTAGAGGATCAGGCACGTATAACAGGAAGGACACTGCAATGGATCAGAGAATACCTGACAGGGAGGCAACAACGAGTCATGGTACGGAATGAGGTATCACAGTGGGCACCTGTGACGAGCGGGTTCCCACAGGGGTCAGTCCTAGGACCAGTGCTATTTTTGGTATATATGAATGACATGATGGAAGGGATAGACTCAGAAGTGTCCCTGTTCGCAGATGATGTGAAGTTAATGAGAAGAATTAAATCAGATGAGGATCAGGCAAGACTACGAAGAGACCTGGACAAACTGGGTGCATGGTCCAACAACTGGCTCCTCGAATTTAACCCCGCCAAATGCAAAGTCATGAAGATCGGGGAATAGTCTAGGCGGCCAAAGACTGCAAACCTCACTCAAGGAGAAAGATCTTGGGGTGAGTATAATACCGAGCACTTCTCCGGAACCACACATCAACCAGATAACTGTTGCGGCATATGGACGCCTGGCAAACCAGAGAATACCGTTCCGATACCTCAGTAAGGAATCGTTCAAGACTCTGTATTCCGGGAAGTACGGTGCCTGCACTCTGAAGATGGAGTGTAGATATGCTGCAGTTTTTGCTAAATGTAGTATCAGCTCGCCTCTGGCCTAGGTGGGAAACAGCCGAAATACGGCTAAAACAACACGGGTTCGATCCCCCTGCTAGTCGCAGTGTTGTTATTGATATATATATATATATATATATATATATATATATATATATATATTATATATATATATAGTGTGTGTGTGTGTGAGTAAAGATGGTGTAGTTGTGTCAAATGGATGTAGGATGTATGTGAGTAGAGCGGATGTTCATAATGATAGGTATCATCCTGACAGCAGTTCATACTGCCACATATGCACCATAGCTAGAAAGTTTTAGCAAAATTGGATACATCAGTGTGCTGCTACTCTGTCTTATATAATAGCACTTATTTTCTTTTTGAATTAAAAATTCTTGGATCAAAAGCTCCTCACCTACATTAAAGCATAAAGGTAATGCTCCTGTCTTTCCTCCTCACAGCAAAAATTCTTCATTTTGGTCTCTGAAAATCCTCGAAGAAGTTGTAGACTGTTAGACTTGTCTTATATAACAATAATATCTTCATTTCTACAAGTACATGTACAAGGTATACAGACCATAGTTGACATCAATGACATACTACTCTATAGAAAGCCGCTTGTTATGCTGAGCATTTCCCGCAAATTAGGTCAGTTTTGTCCCCAGGATGCGACTCACACCAGTCCACTAACACCCGGGTACCTATTTTACTGCTAGGCAGACATGGGCAGCAGGTGTTTTAAGGAAACACGTCTTAATATTTCCACCCGTATCGTGCATCGACTCCCGGACCTCAGTGTGTGAACTGAGTGCGCTACCAATTAAGCTAGGGGACACATTGGCCTTGGTATTCACTACACACGGTAGCACAACAAGCAATAACTATCGTAGAAGGTGAGAAAGAGGAGAGAGATCGTACATGCACAATGTGTTGTGTACAAGGTTGAGTGATGCTTCATGTCCAGTACAGTGCTGTATGACCCTTGTGAGTTTAGCGCTTGGTTTTGATTATAATAATAATTCACGTCCAATATGGCCGACGAATAACCCGTGACCTAACACGCAAAACTTCAAAATAGTTTACAATTAAGTTGATTAGGTGCATATACAAATGACTTGTGACTTACAGTAACTTATGATTCTAACATATTTGTAGTAGTTATACTTACATGGTGAGATTAAGAATATCCCTTTGGTGTCACAGGTGGTCAGACAACACCAGGCAGCCACCAGTACTACCAACACTCTCCCACCACCTGTCCTCCCTTCCATATTGCTCGCCCTCATGCCCACACCTGTCCCTACGCCCATACCATCTGTCCCCACGCCTGCACCACCTATCCCCACGCCCACACCACCTGTCCCCACGCCCACACCACCTGTCCCCACGCCTACATATTTAGTTGAGATGAAGGTGAAGGAATGAGGGAGCATCATCCACCATCACCTGTGTTACACACACACACACTACTCTGTGTCAGACTTCCACGGTGATCTACACTCTTGTTAGTAGACGATAACCATGGCACTAAGTGTCAAGTGTGAGGGTGGGGGGCAGCCCGGGAATGGTGTGAGAGTGTTGGCCCTGGGTGGTACTGTGGAACGTCGGTCTAGGCTGGCACTGTGGAACGTTGGTCCAGGCTGGCACTGTGGAACGTTGGTCCAGACTAGCAGTATGGGACGTTGGTCCAGGATAGCACTATGGAACATTGGTCCAGGCTGGCACTGTGGAACATTAGTCCAGGCTGGCACTATGGGACGTTGGCCCAGGCTGGCATTATGGAACGTTGGTCCAGGCTGGCACTGTGAAACGTTGGTCTAGGCTAGCACTGTAGGACGTTGGTCTAGGCTGGCACTATGGAACGTTGGTCCAGGCTAGCACTATGGGACGTTGGTCCAGGCTGGCACTGTGGGACGTTGGTCCAGGCTGGCACTGTGGGAAATAAACAAGAAAGATTTTGGTCTATAGTTCTCTAAGGTTTACAAAATTATAGAAAGATCAGATAAACATTGAGATCAGTAACCTATGAAGGCTGATAACTGAGGATAGCCCAAGACAATCAGTATGGCTCTTCGGTCTTTTCCCAAGATGCCGCCCACATCAGTCTACTAACTCCCAGACATCTATTTACCACTAGGTCACAGGGGCTGTAGGTATTCGGAGATTTCCCAACACATCTCTTTCTCACCCAGGATTAGACTGGTTTTCTTTCGGTTGTAAAACAAGGGTATTAACATTGAGCAACGAGCAGCGGGATGCTTAAAGAAAGCCGTCCCTACAACTAACTCTTTAACTTGGGCATCTTTATGCCCGGAAGAGCTCTTACTTCAACGAACTAAGAGCTAGCAGTATACAAAATACATGCATGCCACATTAGTCTGCCCGAAATGCACATGCATGCCACTAACATGCATGTGCATTTCGGGCAAACTAATCCTAATGCTTACGGACTACTCAATATTAGACATAGGTTACTGAAAGGTAAATTTTAATTATTCCTTATAACAAAAAAGAGAGGTAGCAAAAATATTACAATTAACACAGTTTACAATAGTACAATTTTAGTGATTTAGTGATCTTAAGTTAACTGGGATTTATTAAGTGGTTTCAAACTAGCTCTTTGATCTCAGGCTCTGGGAAGATAAGAGATGGTGAAGAAACAAGTAGTAACTGGATGAGTTGGTTTTGTGATTGCCGCCCATTGTCCAGCCGTCGTACGGCGCCCTACGAGCGTAGCACTTACTCACCACTTTAATAATAAGCTAGGAAGATAGAGAGACGATCCATAGAGAGTCAGCCAAGGTACTGATAGCGGCGCCAACTGAACATTACTGTCGCCACTCACTGCATCACACCTTATCTGTTTTCCTTCTCCGGTTTGATATTATCTTTTTTGTGGGAGGAAGCGAGTGTGCCTCCCACGGTTACCTCTGATGACTCTCACAGTTAACTTTGATGCTTCCCATGGTGACTCTAATGCCACCCACGGTGACTTCTAATGCTTTCCATGGTGACCTCTGATGCCTCCCGTGGTAACCTCTGATACCTCCCATAGTAACCTCTGATGCTTCCCATGGTGACCTCTAATGTCTCCCATGGTGACCTCTAATGCCTCCCACGGTGACCTCTAATGCCACCTACGGTGACTTCTAATGCTTCCCATGGTAATCTCTGATGCTTCCCATGGTGACCTCTAATGCCTCCCATGGTGACACTTGATGCCTCCCATGGTGACCTCTGATGCCTCCCATGGTAACCTCTGATGTTTCCCATGGTGACCTCTATTGCCTCCCATGGTGACCTCTAATGCCTCCCATGGTGACCTCTGATCCCTCCCATGGTGACTTCTGCCACCTAATGACCTCTGATGCCTCTCATGGTGATCTCTGACACATATGGTGTAGAAATATACCTAGTTGGACGAATCTTATTGAAGCTAGCTGGTCCAGTGGCTAACGCGACGGTCTGGAGTTTTGAGACTCTCTGACCGCGGGTTCAAACCCCACCGGTGGTATGGTTTGTTTGTAATCGTGTCATTACGATTTCGTGAGTCATGTTACCGGCTCAATTTTAGCCAGCTCCATTTTTTCTTCTTCGTGGATAATTCTTTAACGGTTTTGGTGAGTAGCCGGTTACTAAACTCAGGTGAGGGTGTGAGGCGTCCCGCTGTGCTGGAGATTGGCAAGGAAAGTCCACTTGTTTTATTGAGGAACTTCTGGTTTCTGTTTCCATTTACAAATGGACTCGTGTTCCCTTTTCTTTCATTGCCAAACTCTGGGCAGAATGTGTGCCCCGTGGTCTGGTGGATAAAGCTCTCGCTTCACACGGTGTGCGTCAGGGTTCGATTCCCGGCGAGGGTAGAAACGTTGGGCGTTTTTCTTTACACCGGTTGTCTATGTTCACCCATCAGTCAAATGGGTACCTGGGTGTTAGTCGACTGGTGTAGGTCGCATCCTGAGACAAAACTGGCCTAATTTCCGGGAAATACTCTGCATAAAAAGCGGATGTAGTAGTTTATCATTACCTGGAGTATACCTGGAGAGGGTTTCGGGAGTTAACGCCGCCGCGGCCCGGTCTGTGACCAGGCCTCATGGTGGATTAGGACCTGACCAACCAGGCTGTTACTGTTGGCCACATGCAACCCGACGTACGAACCACAGCCCGGCTGGTTAAGTACTGATTTTAGGTGTCTGCCCAAAGCCTTCTTGAAGACAGCCAGGGGTTTATTGGTAATCCTCCCTTATGTATGCTGGGAGGCAGTTGAACAATCTTGGGCTCCTGACACTTATTGTGTTGTCTCTTATCGTGCTAGTGACACTCCTGCTTTTCATTGGGGGGATGTTTCATCGTCTGCCGAGTCTTTTGCTTTCATACGGAGAGATTTTCGTGTGCAAGTTTGGTACTAATCCCTCTAGGATTTTCCAAGTGTATATCGATAACGAGGTATGCCACGAAACAACTAAGGTGGCAAATTGTTTTAATTCATACTACACAGCTGTTGCATCAACACTAGTAAGTTAACTACCAGCTGCATCAAATACCTTTAACACAGACTCAGTTAAGTTTCAAACATACTATACCAATAAAGGGGTAACCCCAAACAGTTGTCAACTAAAGGACACAAGTGCAACTAATGTGACATTTATTGTGGCAACGTTTCGCTCTCCAGGAGCTTTATCAAGCCATTACAAACAATACATGGACACAGAGGGTATATAAAGGCTCTGAGTGAGGTGCAATACTAGTGAGGTACCATTTCGATGTTCACTAGTGGTAGTAGTAGTAGTAGTAGTAGTAGTAGTAGTAGTAGTAACAAAAATAATACAATATGGAAGAGCAAATAATTCGTACAATTCGTACATGGTACCTCACTAGTATTGCACCTCACTCAGAGCCTTTATATACCCTCTGTGTCCATGTATTGTTTGTAATGGCTTGATAAAGCTCCTGGAGAGCGAAACGTTGCCACAATAAATGTCACATTAGTTGCACTTGTGTCCTTTTACTTTACATATTGTCGGTAATTCTACCAACTTTATTACAGTTGTCAACTAGTAAGTGTATCTCATGACTTTATTCAAAAAGAACTAAGCAGGTTAAACCCAACTAAGAGCACAGGCCCTGATAACATCCCGTCTAAGTTCCTAAAAGATGGTGCTTCTGAACCGGTGGCCTGGTGGCTAAAGCTCCCGCTTCACACACGGAGGGCCCGGGTTCGATTCCCGGCGGGTGGAAACATTCGACACGTTTCCTTACACCTGTTGTCCTGTTCACCTAGCAGCAAATAGGTACCTGGGTGTTAGTCGACTGGTGTGGGTCGCATCCTGGGGGACAAGATTAAGGACCCCAATGGAAATAAGTTAGACAGTCCTCGATGACGCACTGACTTTCTTGGGTTATCCTGGGTGGCTAACCCTCCGGGGTTAAAAATCCGAACGAAATCTTATCTTATCTTATCTTAATCCCTATTGCTCACATAATAAATCTATCAATCGCCACTGATACCGTACCGGAGGGGTTCAAGGAGGCCAGAGTTACTCCTATCTTCAAGAAAAACAGTAGGTCTGATGTAAGCAACTAAAGGCCTGTTAGTATACTCAGTATAATATCCAAAATTCTAGAGAGAGCGGTGCACTGTCAAGTAGTTTAGTACCTTAATGACAACAACATTCTCCATAGCTATCAATCAGGCTTTAGAAGATCTTACTCAACCGACACCTCCCTAATTAATCTGGTGATTACATGAGAACTGAAATGTCAATGGGGAACCTCATAGGTATGGTAACCTTAGACCTGCAAAAGGCCTTCGATACTGTCAACCACAATATATTATGCAAGAAGCTTCAAGCTATCGGTATAGGTTCTGTAGAGTGGTTTAACTCCTACCTTAGCAATAGGAGATAAAACGGAATCAGAACCCCTGCCGATAGCATGTGGAGTTCCCCAAAGTAGTATTCTGGGTCCCTTATTATTCCTATGTTATGTTAACGATATGCCTATTAGTGTCAAGTGCAAACTCCTACTGTATACAGATGACAGTGCTCTGTTAGTGTCAGGTAAAGACCCACAAGATATAGCTAATGTATTAACACTGGAACTGGAGTCCTGCAGCAAATGGTTAGCAGACAACAAACCATCATTACACCTAGGGAAAACTGAAGCCATTCTCTTTGGCACGAAACATAAACTGAGAAGGGTAAATAATTTTAATGTCCAGTGTAATGGGGAGCCCATCACTTCAGTTTCCTCAGTAAAATATCTGGGAATCCCCTTTAACCCATGCATGTTAGGAGAATTGATAGGGAACAGTGTAGTAAAGAAAGCGAATGCCAGATTGAAATTCCTATAAAGACAAGCACAGTGTCTACCTACTGAGGCTCGCAGGACCCTATGTCTAGCCCTTATACAGCGTCATATGGATTACTCTTGCTCTCCATGGTACTCTGTCTTTACAAAAAAAACTGAAAGATAGACTGCAAATCAACCAGAACAAAATGGCAAGATTCATCCTGAACCTGGGTCCAAGAGAGCATGTAGACCAGGATGAATTACAGCAGTTGGATATACTGAATGTTGAAGACATAGTAAAACAACTGAAGCTAAATCATGTATTTAAAATTGCTCACAAACGGTGTCCAGAATATCTTGCTGCCAATTTTGTCAAGGTTGGGAACCAAAGCAATCACAGTACTAGGGGGAGAGAGCACAACTTTGTAGTACCCACAGTCAGTGGCCAGGCTTCAAACTCCTTTTATTATACAGCAATAAAGGAATGGAACAGACTGCCCGCACATGTCAAAGCCAGTCATAACATGAACCAGGTCAAGATGAGAACCAAAAGGTGTCTGATGAATGTAGGTACAGAAAGGGAGGGGAATGATTTTTTATTTTTTTTAGCTAACACACGTGTAATTTTACCTTATTCCTAGTAATGACTCTTGTATTGAAGTCTTAATGACCCTCGTGTAGTAGTCTTAATAGTATGATAATAAGATGTTATCTCCATTATAGAATAATAATAAGATATTATCACCTTTATTTTACTAAGGGTCGGACGATTGGGGCCCCGTCGTCCAATCAGTACCCAGGTTCAGCCAATGAGAAGATGGTTCTGGCAATCGTAGAGGTGTTGTGGGCACCAACCGGCTGTCTGCCCTTGTCATTTCCATTCTAGAGCTGATTGAAGCACGGTCTGCTCTCTAGTGGCATCTATTCTGCGTTACTTACCGTGGCGTGCACTGATACCTCTTATTGTACATAGTGTATACACTGTACATACTTCTGTTCTTGCTTGGTGAAAGGATAATATAAGTCAAAAGTTTTCTGCTATGTTTGTTTCGCTCCCTTTACACCCAGGATAACAGGCCTTTGAATTCCTGGGTTGTATTATGGGTTATCCTAGGTACTTTACACATATGCGGTTATGTATGATAATCTATGTAACTGTATTTGTGTATACCTGAATAAACTTATTTATCTCTCCCGTCTGCGTTCTAGGGAGTACAGATTGAGGAACTTTAAGCATTCCCAGTAATTGGGGTGTTTTATCGCAGTTATGTGTGCCGTGAAGGTTCTCTGTACATTTTCTAGGTCAGCAATTTCACCTGCCTTGAAAGGTACTGTTAGTGTGCAGCAATATTCCAGCCTAGATAGAACAAACGACCTGAAGAGTGTCACCATAGGCTTAGCATCCCTAGTTTTGAAGGTTCTCATTATCCATCCTGTCATTTTTCTAGCAGATGCGATTGATAGAATGTGGTCTTTGAAGGTGAGATTCTCTGACATTATCACTCCCAGGTCTTCTACATTAGTGTTTCTTTCTATTGTGTAGTTGGAATTTGTTTTATACTCTGATACAGTTTTAATTTT